CCGCCCCCTCCACCATCCTCCCCCCACCACCACCACTACGCTCGCACTCGACGCATATCCATGATAACATGTTAATATAGCGAAGTCATTAAAGTTACACAGCTGTATCGTTATTACTCTACTACCGGTATAGCAAAGCCTAGCTATCATAGATTTTAGATCTGTATTAGTAGTATTCCAGATATATGCTCTGAGCGCAAACGTGGTGGCGGGAGGGCGCTCTTGATTCGGTTGCCAGTGAGATTATCAGAAGAATACCCGGCTACAGTACACGTCAGTTGAGCGCTGTCGCTCTGCGGCACTTGTTAATTGAACCAAGAATGCACATGTTGGTACAATAGGCTATTTTGGGTGATAGTATAATCAGATGTTGCCGAAATGGTGTCTAACACTAACTATTTCCCCTACTCAAAAGTCGGAGCGCAAATGTCTTTATCCTGTGTGTATTAGTAGCTAGTACAGGCAGAGCCTACAGTGTGGTGCTTCTTTTGACATCACTACATATGCATTCACTTTGACTAATCTTGTATAAAACATTGCCAATAATTGAGCCTACAAGCATTACTGTGCATCCAAATAATATATATATAATATAAACAGTAAAAATAATTCTAAATAACATTTTCTAAGAATAGATGTGGAAAAATTGCATGAACTCACGCATCAGTCATGCAGATGTATATGTTATTTACTTGTTACTTTCAATGGCTTAATATGTCACACTGTAGGTAACATGAATCTTGCGGTTATGTTATAGATGGGAAGCTCGGCAGATGGTCCTATGCCCAACTTTGGCCAAGAGAGACTATTTGCTCCTCTGCAAGGAGGGGTCATCGACAAGCCGCCAATGAGGCCAAAACCTTCTCAAGTTGTGTACTCTGCAAAACCTACCCTGTACAAAGACACGAATAAGAGACACAAGAAAGATGATAAACCTATCATTGAAAAGATCATGGAAGCAGACCAGGTATGAAATGTGTAGTATAAAAGTAAATAATAGAAGGTGACATTTGTTTTTGTCATGCAGGTAGATTCTGAGAATGGCTAGAATTATGTCAAGGTTGTATAATAATCTGTTGCTGTGGGTTGTGAATATTTATGTCTTAAAAACCAATCGGACATATGGATCGAGCTAGTTTAATGTTTAGGGCAGGTTTTTAGCTCAGCTGACGAAGTCAGATGCAGCTTGTAGAATCGCATGATTGTCCGTGCGTTCGCGCGTCCATCCGTCAACAGTAGGGCACAAATCTTAACCGCTCGACATACGGTCTTGATATTCGGAACGTTGGGGGGGATCGCGAAAAGGACTCGGGATGTCGAATTTGGGGGGTCAAGGGTCAAAGGTCAAGATGTGTCAATGGAAGGGGAATATTTCCTCCTTAACTTAAGGTATAGGAGGAAATACGGAATTGCGGCACAAATCTCAACGGCTCGACCTACGCTCTTAATATTCGATGTATAGTGTGATGGGGAGGAAACCCATCATCAGCGCAAATTGGAGGTCACATGTCAAAGGGCAGTGGGGGAAAGGTCAGATATCAGACATTTTCTGAGGACATGGTCTAACGGACCGAGTGCAAAACTTTGTTTCAGCGCTGACCTACCGTTTTTATCACTTTATTGAAAGGACCATGAAATCTACTTTCGGCTGACGTGCGAAGAGTAAGTGTCTGAAAACCTTTTGAC